CCTCCATTGTAAATTTGTTTTGCCAAATTTGGTTAAAAGTGACCATGTAGTTTAGCCGCTTGGTCAATTTTAAATGAGGATAGAATATCGATAGTCTGAAAACTATTAGTTCCGTAAGTTTCAACGAATTTTAAGGCTCCTTACAGTTTCAGAGGAAAATATTTTTTAATACGGTCAGTCATAATCAATAATAATCAATGATTGTCACTGGTTATAAAAATAAGAAGTTGTGGTATGATTGCCAATGAGACAACCCTCCACAAGAGACCAAATGACACAGAAATTAACAACTATAGGTCACCGTACGGCCATCAACAATGAGCAAAGCTCATATTGCATAGTCCGCTATAAAAGGCCCCTGAATGAGAAATGCAAAACAATTCAAACGAGAAAACTAACGACCTAATTCATGTACAAAATGAATGAAAAACAAATATGTTACACAGCAACAAACGATAACCACTGAATTACAGGCTCCTGACTTGGGACAGGGACATACAGAATGTTAAACTAGTTTGAAGGCGCTGACCCTCCCCTAACCTGTGACAGTGTTATAGCAGTACAACATAAGAACAAACTATAAAAATCAGTTTAAAAAGGCTTTACTCATCAGATGGATACAAATAGAAATACATCTAACAAAAACACAGAGTGGACGAGGAAGGGTACTTATACATCCCAACAACAAAAAGACACTATGTACATATCTGAGAGTACTCGCAGTTACTGACAGCTAGTTCAAAGCCAATAACAAATAAAAAAATCGTGCATCTAAGACTAAAATATCAATCAGTACATATCCAACATCTAATGGATTTAGTGTAAAGACGTCATTAACAGTCAGAGAAAAACATGACCCTGTACAATGCCAAAATACAGGTATCGACATATTGTAGAGCCATGAATGTGCATATGTATATAAAAATAATAAAATTAGTTTGATTTTAATTAACTGATAAAAAAATCAATATTAATACCAATAAAAACAATATTCAAAGATCTATAATTACAGTGCTGAATTGGTAACCTTTTAGAATAAGATTATTTAAAGGATCGATAAGTTTCGTAATTTCCGGGCTCGGTAAACAACATCTCCGTAAAAATTAGGATGCGCTATCCCGTTTGAAATTATTTTACTTAGGATACAACCAAACTTCAAAACCAAAGCTTTATATCTATTGAAGAATTTAGTAAAAGTTTTAAGTAATTTGTGGTAACGAAATCCCTGACTTAATAATTTACCAGTAATACAAAGATTACGTTCATTGAAATCCAAAACGTCACAACAGACACAAGCATATAGAACACGTTGTGATATATAAACACCGTAAGATGGTACCAAAGAAACATCACCGTCCAAAAAGGGAAAATTAACAATAGGGAACGAAAAGTCGTCCCTTTTGTCGTAAATTTTAGTGTAGAGTTTCCCGTGTAAAATGAAATATCTAAATCTAGGAAAGACAGTTACTATCGTTTCTATTTGATTTATTTAAAGAAAGTTCCTTTGGGTTAGAAAATTCTTGATTATTTAACGAAAAAATACATCAAGATAACGGTAAGTGTTGTTGAATTTATCAATTAAGACCATGTTTTACCCAATCGAAACCTAATGATGATTATTTGTAGAGGATCTTCACATGCACCATTAGTGATAAGATTGCTGAGTAGTTTCAAACAAAAACATTTGCTGCATTTCTTCAACTGGTCATCATAGAATATGGATCGTTTGTTGAGGTTCTTTCGTTCATCAATCTCTAAACGTTCAAAAGATTTTGCCTTGAGGTTTCAGAGAATATTTTTTTAATTGACCTAAGAGAATCAAAGGCTGCCTCTGCTGGTCATATTTTTTTAACCAAGTTTCTTTTTATACTCTCTTCAAAGTTTGGTTAGAATAGACATATGTATAAGCAGTTTCAGAGATGAAAATGAAAATGTGAAAAGTTTGAGATAGACGCTTTGTGATGGCTACATTGGTATGAGGTGAAAGTGAAAATAGAAAAAAGCTATTTATCTTAACATTTTTTTTTATCTTCCATTCTATGTTTAATGTGTTAATTGTCTTTTGTAAAAGCCATATCTTGGATACAATAATACCCCGGTATTTCCAATCACATGCTTGGAAGCGCACACATTTACCAGATATTTCCGAATTTGCTAATAGTTTTCTATATTTTATTATTGTATCCAAACTAAATCAAAATGAAAATAAATTAAAAAAATAAATGTGGTTAAAACAAAATCTATCACATGTAAATGTACCGGCTACCACTACGACATACAATATGATCAGTGTTGCCAATAAAAAAAATTCTATTGTATACGGCAAGTTTTTTTTTCTGTGTTTCCGATTGACATTGCAATGCAATGGGTTTTGCTATCGTGTACAACAGATGTTTATCTGTGTAACCTATTTCATCTACTGTAGGCCTACTTATAACAGGTTCTGTTAATATATGTTTGAAGATTTGCCATTAGAAATGTAAACATGACTAAAAATATAGAATTCCTCAGATGAAAAAGAGAGGCAAAAGATACAAAAGGGACATTCAAACTCATAAGTCAAAAAATAAACTGACAACGCCATTGCTAAAAAAGAGAAAAAGGCAAAAGACAAAAAACAGTACACAAAACACAACATAGAAAACTAAAGACTGAGCAACACGAACCCCAACAAAAACTGTGGGTGATCTCAGGTGCTCTGGAAGGGTAAGCAGATCCTGCTTTACATGTGGCACCCGTCGTGTTGCTCATGTTAGTATAAACCATATAATAAGTCTAATTCGGTAGGTCACATTCGGGGAAAGGGGACGGGATTGTAGTTACGACAATTGGAACATATCCGCTATCATCTGTGAAACGGATATTCCATAACGGTCAACCAACTCGTGATGGAGTCCGTAAAATTTACGAAGGGATGACTTCAACTTCACCCCTTGGAACTCTTGGTTTAATAGCTATGAAGATATCGCATTTCGTGTAGAAATACACAGTATTGGACAAAGTAGCTCAAAATGGTGAAGGAGACAGATAAAAAAAGATTATGCAAATGTTTCATCAGAAGCTGTAGAATTTTTAAATAAAAAAAAAACCGTAGAAGTGGTAGTAAAAGTATTGCCGTTAAGCGAATAATCAGCAAAGAGTTTAACTACTGATAGCAGTTTGAAATATCAATGTATATGATTAATATCTTTGTGATCCAAAAGATGGATTAGGGGGGTTTGGTCGAAATATGGTCACCTGGACATCACCCATTCGATAGTAAAAACCCATGCTACAGAGGGTTGTTTGTTTGGCTATATCGAATATATAAATATAAAGCCAAGTCTGAATCACAACCTACCTATATTAGATTTATTGTTTATTTTAATTTTGGAAAATTATGCGTTTGTTTTTAGTAAGACAGAAGAATTGTGTAACAGTAGGTGTCATTCAAACAGTAGACCTATCATTTGCTGAAATGAATACAGAAAGTAATTTTTGAATCTGTACATATGTATTTCAATGTAAAGTAGTTAAAACTGGATATATCTGATCACGGACGTATACGTCCTTGGTCTGATCTACACGCATGTTGGCATGTCAATAACATCGATAAATGACGTCATGTAATGGTATCCACTCCCACGTCGATATATATGTTTATTGTGGTATCAATTTTTTATTAAGTATAAACATTTATATATACAATATGTATATGCAAAAATGGGAAATCGATTACCTATCTATAACTAGTAATCTGACGTCATTGATTCATCTAAACAAATTAAATTAATAAAAAAAGCGATTTTTATCGCAAACACTCTGCAAGATTAATGGATTATTCTTATGATAATTACACTAAACTTTAACAACAAAATTCTAATTTTCTTTTATTTAACTTTTTCTATTAACTCTTAGTTGATTTTCGTACGATTTTTGTTGGTTTTCAAACAAACTATGCTATGTTGTCAGTGGCAAATGGCGGTTATTCTGTAAAAATAAAGACCGACATTGACGTAGGCAATTAATTGTGCCAAAATATTTGTCTTTCTAAAAACAATTTCGGTATCGCATGTTATGCCTTAACCATTTGTTTAAATTTGTATTTAGTTTGGTAATCATAAGTATTTTTTCTTATATGACAGTCTAGGTGTTGGAGATTGTATTGTTCTAGTCTGAGCTTACTTGTGATTATTATTCACAATTCCTTTTACATATATGATCCATTATACTAAAGACAATAATCTTCTGTACAGATACATCGTTTCTTTGAGATTAAGTTTTGGTGACACCATGTTACTGTTTAACAACCTTCATCACTTTGTTCTGTGTCTGACTATACACACTCATAAGTCGATTACAAACTGATGAAACGAAAAACGACCAAAAGACAAACAACAGTATTCAAACCACAAAAAAAGATTGGGCAACACGAACACCAACACAAACCCGTGGGTTTGTTGAAAATTCCCCGGTATCACATCTAAACTATTTGATTCAAGAGTTGTATCAAAATTGCTACCTGTTGGAAAACGATTTCCTACTTTATTGTTGTTATCATTTTAATTGCAATCATTGTAATACCTTCCATGCAGTTCCCGCACTGTAGATGTTAAAGAATATGGAACTAGAATATCTTCCAGTTCCCGCACTGTAAGTGTAAACGAATACGGAACTAGAATATCTCGAGTCGCAGTTGCATTTTACACTTTTTGAAAATGCGTTTTGACTCCAAAAAAAAGAAAAAAGATACAAAATGTGGACAATGATAATAAATAAGTCGAAAAGGACAGACGGCACCATGACCGAAAGAAAAAAACAGAAAAAGATAATCAACAGAAAACAAAAATTTCAAAGAAAGATATTGAGCATTACGAACCCGACCTGTCAAGTATTTACAAACATTTTATATAAGAAACCCAAGTCAGTAAATTCAGGACATACGTACAGAAATGCACGTTATAAAAGAAGGCTTGCATTGTTAATCAACTAATAAGACTAAAAGAATAAATTTGCAAACATAAAATTCATATTTTATTTCATTTTACAATCATTTAAAATATTCATAAATTAACTTAAATGTAATAACACAAGATAAATAGCATAACATCACATATTTTGTATCTTTGGGAAGGGGTAGCTGGGGAGCATCATTAAAGCTCCCTTCGTAACAAAAACATATTAGTATAATTTATAATGATACAACTCATTAGCATACACGTATTCAAATATAAGAATAAACTAATTCTTTAAAAAGAAAACAGGAAAATTTTCATTGTCAACATACTAGTTAAACTCTTCTACTAATAACATGTTTAACAGGCAATTTTATATCGTTTTTCTATTGTAATCAAGTCTACCAAAAGATCAATGAATACATTTTGTTTTGGCATTGATTTTACGGTATTCAATCGATTCTGGCTTCATTCATCAGATAAAACATGGAAGCAATCACATTAGCTATTGATTTTTGAGAATCGAATATTTGAGAATGAATATATACATATGATTCATCTTAAAATGTTGGCTAGATGACTAAAACGAAATTGTATAAAGAAGAATTTCCGATAATGCAAATAATTTTTACTTATTTGAAAAATGGAAAGTAAAATTTGAATCAAATTGCAATATTTTTAACATACTCTATAATTTCCAACAAAAGCTTACGTAAACATTTAAAACTATTTTATATTTCATAAAACATATGAAATAGAAAATAACAATTCCATCACTTACTGAACACATATTTGTCAACTGAAAAGACATGTTCGTTCTCACATATTTATGAACCTTTCACGTGTTAATTGAGCTATTCTGAACTATTGCGATGTAAAAACAAGCAACAGCTCATTCACATATCACTATCTTTTAATTGTCTTGGCAGATAATTGGCATTATGGCGAAATAGATAGGAAAGGCTCATATACAAGGCGAGTAGGCTTTGAGTTCTGTGAATACCTCCGTAAAAAAACTAGGATCACTGTTCAAACGCAGCATGTTAGCACTTTGTCGGTTAATGATAACTAAAGTGCGATCCCAAAATTTGTCTCTGTTTTCTTCAACGAGGAATGGCTTTAGTGGATAGCTTATTTCGTTTCCCATATAAGAATATGACAGATATAGGCAAGTTAAAACAAGAGCCTGAAGTTCATGTTCTGAATCTATATCGTTATACATTGAGTCTTTTACCAACATGTACAAAAACACTACGTTCGCCGGATTGATAAACGCTACATCCTGCCATCCTTGTAGTAGTAAAGATCTGTCTACTGTCCGCAGCCATACAATAGCACTGTGACTTTCGAAATTTCGTAGACGCTTACACTTCTTTCTCAGAAACTCTCCTAAACATTTCAATAATTCTGAAGTACTGGCTTGGATTACTGTCCGTTTAGGACTGGTGGCTTTGTCAATCTTTTTGACAGATTTCTTCTCCACATTCTTCTTCTCGTCTAGCTTTTCTGACTTAATGTTATAACTGGAAATTGACTTTGGTATATTTTTGTTTATATCTACATTCTCGATGTTAAAATTATTGTCAATTTTTCCTGGTACAATGGTGGCGTTTGAAAATCGCTGAACGTTTTTATCTTTCTTCTTTCCATTACTTACAGAGAATTTCTTCCAACTTAATCCTCCAAGAAATATAGAATGTTTCCTGTAACTCTTGTCCCTCTGATTTGATGAATTTTTAGTGTTGTTTAAAAGTTCGTATTGGTAGTTGTTTAAATTCACCTCCTCGTACAATGGCTTCCTTGGTCGTGGAGAAAATGATAAAACCGTCCCCATGTTTGTGTAATATGACCTGTAGAACGTCTTTAAAATGACACTTTTTCGTCTATTCTCTTGTTTTTATACCATATTTCTAAAGAAATTAACACCTTTCCAATTGATAGGACTTTGAGGTCAGTCAAAATTCCAAGCAGATGTTTTTCTAAATCGCCTGTAAAATGTACATTTCTCCACCGTAAAAGGAATCAATTAGCATAATGGTAGACATGATGTCATTACCATAGCAACCTCAAACATGGATGCTGAATGCAGCACCACTAGAAAGCTTGATGCCGCAAAGAAAATGAATCGATACGAGCTCCTTGGCTTCGATCGATACTGAAATTCCAAAGCTTTGATATACATTATGGAACGGAGTTGCTATTGAATCAATGAATTGATTCGAAATGTAACACTGGGGATTAATTTTGATTATTAAAACAAAAAGACGTCAACTTGATATTACCATTATGATAATTACACAAAGTAGCATATATAGCTTGTTTACCAAATAAGCTTTGGGTTAAAAATTTCCGTGCATTTAATTGATCAAAATGATATATTATTTATTTTATTAACTTCATTATTTACAAGAAAGGTCTCGGTCTAGCGTTTTCTTTTTTGCTCTGTTGACAGTATTGGATAATATTATTAATTGGTTTCAGTGCCATCTTCCCTTAAACGGTTCGCCTCGATTCAACAGTATCTACAAACGTGACTGGTGTATGTAAATATGATCATAAGAACTTCTTCCTTGTTGCAGGGGTGTTCGTTTGCATATGCGGGATAAATAAATACAGGCGGATTGTATCAACGATTACCAGTGTTGGATTAGTTGCATGCTCTTTCAGCTTTAAAAAGATCTTTAATTGTTTAATTGTCTGTAAGTGATATGTTTCACGGAAAAACTATTTCTGCCCCCTGCTAATGATGCACTTTTCAAATGAACGTTCTTCTCCTTATTCCGATCAACAAACTCATCAAAACATGCAAAATGTACTTAGTTAATGCTTCTGAAGTCATGCAATCATTTTTGATATAGAAATAAATAGAGACGTAACGCACGGTTATTGGTTTATTTTTTCATTCGACCCTTTCTTAATGTATGAAGAGGATTTAAACAATTCTACGTATTATCAAATGGTAAACAATCTTGTTTCATCGTTTAAATCGAAATCAAATAAAAACTGGTTTCAATAAGTTTTATTTTATAATTTAGAGATGATTCCGTGTGCATAATTCCGTGTTTACCACTTAAGACGAAACAACAAGAGCCAACCATTAAAATCAATACACAAAAAAAGTCATTATGAAGTTTATCATCCATTTTCAAAATTCATGATACTGTAAGATTTGAAAATTTGAAGATAAAAATATACAGCCAGCAGTTCGACATTGCAATATTTTCACAACAATTATAGAACAGGTGTGTCACCTCAACATAAAAATGTGATTTTATTACTACATATAAAAGACGCACGTGAAAAATACTCAATTTTGCTTCGTGACATTTTAAGGACTGTAACACCTTTAATAATTAAACACGAACAATTCCAAACTGAAGTTTTCATTTAAACAAATTACATAGTTCAAAGTTCATTTTAGTAGGTAAACTTGTTTTTTAAGGTCTATTTCTGCATTAGATAAATTGATTGCTCACTTTTCTAAATCGTACGGAAATTAATCGGCTCGCGGACTGTTCTTTAAAAAATTAGCGGTTGCAGGCTGGATGATCAAATTTAAACTATTGAAACATAAACCCGCTTTGAAACTGGCTGTTTACACCCAGATGGAACAATTTGCTGATCATCGGAAAAAGAGCACCTGCGATCACCTTCAGTTTTTGGTGGGGTTCGTGTTGCTCAGTCATTAGTTTTATATGTTGTGTTTTGAAGACTGTAGTTTGTCTTTTGGTCGATTTTCGTTGTTTGCCATGACATTGTCAGTTCGTTATCGACTATGAGTTTGACAATCGCTTTGGTATCTTTCGCCTCTCTTATGCAGACTTTAAATTTTTTTATTTTTTTTTTGGTGTTTATTCATTAGCACCTTCAACACAGCGGAGGTAACAAGTCGAATTGGCACCTGGCTTGATTAGCAACTGGTCAGTCTGGTCTTGTTATGCCAGTGCATCACAGAAGTTAAAAAATACTGAAATATTATTTTTAAGGTGTGTGTCAGAAGTTCTACTTTAATTCGTAAATAATCTATTTCAGGACTTTTTTTCATTTGATTATTTTGGGACAAACTATAGTATATTATGTTATCTGGATATTCACAGAGGATATGAGCTCGTGTTCATTGTCAGAGTAAAATGTTCTAATGTGTATCAAAATGCCTTCAACAGCAACATGTAGCGCTCATCAGCATGTTGATTGTATGGAGACACGTAAAATTGTTGAAAAAAAATATTTAAAATTTATGATTAAGACTCTTTGATATTCATTTCCACTAGGATTTGAATACTCTAATATGTTGACCACGGCTATGTTCTGACATTTTGTACCGAAGTCTTCCACGATGTATATTCAGAAAGCTTGCTTTCCGATTAAAACGACGATAACGCTTGCTTTCAGATATTTGTTGACGAAGAAGCAGGAGATACGAGACGATGATGGATAATGCTTCAATCTGGTGGTATATATATGTGGTATTCTCTCTTTTATCTCACGGAACACTACAGCTTTTTAACTTGATGGAAATGTAATGCATGTCATTATGAAAGTTTTTAATCAGGTCGTAAACGGTGCCACAAACGCAACACTGCAAACGATTGACCACAAGAATGTATACTGTTTAAAACATTTTAAATAAAGTCGGGTTTCAAATCATCCATTGACTCTCCTTTCGTTATTACTGTTCCGTATATCTCAAAATTCATTTAATCAAATCATAAATGCTCATTGAAATAAATCACAGTAAATGCTGTCTTTCGGGTTGTATACTTCCAGCTTGGTTTTGTAGACTGTTGTTTTTTTCTTTTTTGTCCATTTTCCTTTTTTTTGCCATTTCATTGTCAGTTCTTTTTTTACTTATAATTTGTCCTTTCGTATCTTTCGCCTCTCTTATTCAGATTTGTTTTTGATGTTTATTCAGTAACACCCTACGTCACAGCGGAGGTAACACGTAGAATTGGCACCTTGCTTGATTATCAACTGAACATCAGGGATCTTCTACTTCTACTTCTACCAATACGCGGCCACCATCAATAAGTTGATTATTTTGCCACTTTTTGGATGCGCATTTAAAATTTAGACAAAAAATAAATAGATCTCCATGACCTGTTTTATGATGCCGCACCGCCATCGTTAAAATATCTTCCGCCACCGTCAAATGACCCCTGCCATCGTTAAATTGTCTTCCGCCATCGCCAAATGATCCCCGCCATTGTCAAAATTTATTTTCGTTTCTCTAGCCGCCGCCATTTTTCTTATCAATTATAATCAATTGCATGTAATTGCATAACCCTAAGGCTTTTTGCATTATAATCCAAAGTGTCTACAGTTTTAAAGCCCTCAGGGATATCCGGCTATTGATAGCTAATCACTTATACAGGTAGATCGACTCACCTGACAGGAGAACACTTGATCAAGATAGACGATTGATTGCATAATTTAATCACGTTTCAGCGAATGCTAATGAAAATTTAGATTAAAAAAAATAATTTTATTCAAGTTACAAACAAAAAAGTTTTAAAAGTCGAACGCGTGCTTTTATATTGACTTACGCAATCCGCATCCCCCTTTTAAACGAGTACAAAATAATACGTAAAACAGAATATAATTTCATGCCAAATAACACGAGTACAGTAATTATCAATAATATTGAATCACTTTACAAGTTTAAAAGTAAATACATGAATATTAACTGTAACTTGATAATCTGAAGAAATTTCGTATTGTAGTTCCGAATTCATTTCGTAATTTACAATCAAATTGATGCATCCGGTTTTCCGGTTTACATTCAGAATCGAAAGATGCATGTTGCATAGTACATTACTAAGAAGTTTGCTATTTAAAGTCTTTAAAACCATTAAAGTTGTAAACGTTTGCCCTCCAAAACTTTCTTCAGCGTTTAACAAAACGGGTACGAAACTGCTTGTCGTTGATGCTGCAAGCCGTTGATACCGGTTCATGACTTCCGGCTGAATTGGACAGTGAAAAAAAAGATCCCCCCGATTTTTAAGCCTTATACCATTACCAAATTAGAAAGAAAACGACTTGGGAACCTTCAGGACAGCTGTGTTCATTGTTGACTTAGGGGGAGCCATGCAGGTTTGGCATTGGAATTGTTACTAATGACAATTAATGGAAATATTAGTTATTTTATAAGGAAATCAATGTAATAAGCAATATATCATCAGCCTGTTCACCATTCCTTACATGGAAATGAAGGATTGAAATACTTTCGATTACGCCATGCCGTAGACGCGGGGTTTCGTCATGGTGAAAGTTCCTCCATCTTTTAAATGTTCATCCATGGAGATTTCTGACATGCCACTGCATCACAACACTGATACATTATTATTAAGCTGCGTGTCAGACATTCTACTTTTATTCGCAAATAAAAAATGTACTTCGGGATTTTTATGTTTTATTTGGTTATTTTAGGAAAAAAGAAAACAAGTTGCTTTCTTTAAAAAAAAGAAAAGCAATACGTGAACCCGAGTCAGCTGACTTCTCACCAAAAAAATGTTGCTGATTTTTTTTTGGCTTTAGATTTGAAATAATTAACTGAATAGAATAAGGTACTGATGATGTTAAAACACCTTTATTGAAAATATGTAATTGTGTGTAGATTGTTACACAATTCATTTAAAGCACTTTTGGATTTTAGTTGTAAACGGCAGAAAAGTTTATACAGCTACTATATGAATTTACATTTAAAGGCTTGACTATTCTATTTATTACTTGGGAGTGTACATCAGTTTTTCTTCGTGTTAAATATACATACAAAGTCCTAATCCTATTCAATTCTTAGTTTCTGCAAACTGAATGTCTAAAGCAAATTACACAGACCAATCGCAATATAAATTTAAGCAATCCGTTTGCTAAAATAATCTGGATGTATTCATTTCATCTGTCATATCTTCATATTTTGTTTCCTTGATGGCTTAAATTATTCTTATAATCATTATTGAAGCTGTCGCATTTACTCGTGGTAGATTCTGTATATAGAGAAATAGAAAGTCAAATTTCCATGTGAAGTGAAACTCTGTGGCATGCAA